CATAGGGACCCATAGAGACCCATAGATCCCTCCGTAGGGACCCAGAGGGACCCATAAAGACCCATAGAATCACAGAATGGCCTGAGTTGAAAAGGACCACCATGACCATCTCATTCCAAACCCCCCCTGCTATGTGCAGGGTCACCAACCGGGCTGCCCAAAGGCACATCCAGCCTGGCCTGGCAATGAGGGCGATGACTGAGTGCCCCCGTGGGGACCAGACCTCATTGCTCAGCAGCCACCCCAGCCCTTAGAGGGTGCTTCCCTCTTTTGTCCCGTCATTTCCCCATTCACGTGCCCAACTGGGCACCCATTGCAGGACCCAATAGGTTGCAGTGTGGGATCAAAAGGGGTGAAACGATTCGGGGATGCTGCCAGAGCAGTTTGGGGGGCAGATTGTGAGTGTGTGTCCTCAAGCCCCACACGTTTACCTCCCCTCCAACCCTGGTGGGCAGCCAGGAGCTGAGCCCAGCTTCAGGCTTGGCGTTTATCAGCCTCCCGTGGCCCCTGTGCGCGGTGGCGGTGACACGGGGTCCTGTGTTTGGGCTCAGGATGGAGTCACAGGGTGCAGCAGCGTTGGACAGACAGGCGTCATCCCGTTACTTCGCTGCCCTGGATTCCAGCGTGGGGGATCTGCGACAGCGAGCACAGAGCCTGATAGACAGACTGAACGACAGCCGCAAGGAGGACCACACCGTGATGAGCAGCTTCCGCGACAGCCTGCAGCTGAAGGTGCGCGCTGTGCTGGGGGGGGGGAGGCAGCGTCCGTTTGATGCGTTTAATCGCATTATTCCAACCGAATTATCCATGGTGCCGGGGGGCGGTGAGAGGAGGTGCCGCGGGGAAGCAGCCGCCAGCTGCAGAGCCTGGTGCGTGCTTACACCGGCTGCGACAGCGGGGGGCCCCCCGGCCCCTCCGGGGTGGCTGCAGCTGCCTCCAGCTCTGCTTCAGGGAGCAGAAGGGACGCCGACGGCCCCCCCCCCCCCCCCCGTCCCCGTCCCCACGCTGCTGCCGCCCGTGCTCGTTTGGCCACGCGCCTCGCTGGACTTCGCTCCTGCCGGCAATCCCCGCAGCCAGGGGATGGCGCCAGCA